TTTACACTTAATGTAAAATTGGAAGACAAGACCTCCCACCCCTGAAGACTTGGTAATAGTTAAATTTCGGCTTTGGAATTCTTAGGAAAGAGATAGGAAAAATCACCAACCAGCTTGTTTGGCAGTGAGTTTGGGGTGAGGTAATCCTAGGATCCTTGAATTCCCTTTTGCCAAAATATGGAAAATGAGTGGTTGCCACTGGTGATGACATAGTTTTCACCACTCCAGAATAAGGAGGGAGAAATTTGTTCTCTGACACATCAGTGTCCTGGGCTCAAGCAGGATGACCTTGTCCCCAGTGTGCAGATAAGGCCGTGGTTTGCCCTAAACTCAGAGCTCGGTGCCCTGTCATTTGTTCATTCCTTCCTTCCTTCTGTTCATTAAGTAGTGAGCATTCACTATGAGCTGGCACCGCACTCATCCCTGGGCTGCAGAGTGACTGAGGTGTGGACCCTGCCTCCACCAAGGAGCTGACAGTCTAGCAAGGAAGGCCCCTACAAGGACCAGTCGCTTAGTGTGGAAATAAACCAGCACAGATCCCTAGGAGGGCGTGACAAGCTGGTCAGAAAAGCTCCAAGATGCCCACACTGCTTCCAGGGTTCGAGGATGTGTGGGAGCCCCCTGAGCACTGAAGCAAATGGCAAAGTGTGCATGTGCCAGGGAGCAGTGGGAGACGGGGCGGGGGGGTACTCATCGGAGACCTGTGGTTATGTTCCTCAGGCCCAGAGCCCCAGCAGGCTTGGCAGCCGAGGCTCTAGCAGAGGCCTGGAGGGTTTATCCGGGACACCAGGAGAAGGGGCCCCATGCTCCGAGCTGGGGAAGGAGAGAGCAGGGGTGTGTTCAGCTCTTGAGGAAGTGAAATTGACCAGACTGGCAACTGATGGCAGAGGGTTAGGGGAAGGGAGGAGGTAGGGGTGACTCCCAGGTTTTTGGCCGAAACCTCTGGGTGGAGGTGGGAGGAAGCTGGACAGGCTCCTGGCTGGTTAACTCCCAGCCCAGGGCATGGGGCGCACAGCTTCCTGCAGTAGCCTCTGGGCTTCGAGGGAGGTAAGGTGGCCTGTCTAAAATGAGCAGCTCTGGTCTGAGAACTAGCGATGCTTACTGTGCTGCTTCTCCCCGAGCTGGAGAGTTTATCCTGGGAGAGGAGAAGTCGCCTCCTAATTAAGGAGGAGGAGGGGTGGGGGCTGTGCTGCTGGCCTCAGTCAGAGGTGTTTTTTTTTTTTTCACTTCTGTTTACTCATGGGAGAAAAGAAGCAAAGCTTTGAGAGCAGGGAACTTTAGAAAGGCAAAATACCTCTGATTAGCGTGGGAGTTTGAGAGGGCGCTTGCTGGAGAGCACAGAAGGCTGGCTGCGGAGGGGGCTGGGGAGCCCCGCCATGGGGGAGGGGCCGTGTGGAGTCTGGCAGAAAGCCCAGGAAAGTCTGAGCACCAGAGTGAGATTCAAAGATTTCATTAAAAAAAAAAAAAGACATTCTAATCAGTCTGCGTATAATCAAACAGCCTAGCTTCTTTCTTTCTTCTTTCTTTTCTTTTTCGGACTAGTTTATTTCTGATCAGAGCTACAAATGATGAAAAAAACACAAATTGAACCTTACTATTCAATTTTTTAGAAGTTCCTGTTTACAGTTCAAGTTATTCAAACATCACTATTTTTTTTAATTAAAAAAAATCATTGTTGCTAATGACAGAGGAGTAGCAGAGAACATGGTTTGACCCAACAGTCAAGGTAGAACACCCACAAGAAACCCAGTGAAATATGTGTGAGACATGTCAGCTCTGGAGGGGCCCTTGTTCTGCCATCCCTGGAACCTCAGCAGGCCATGCGTGGGGGAAAATAGTTACATCTTTATTTTGACCTAGTTCCAATAAATTTTGTTTTTATTAGCAATGAAGTATTCAAAACACCATAGTATTAAGAATATTTGTTACCATTAGAAATCATAGCTCTTTTCATATTACATTAATATTAGGCTGAGATCGGAAAATGTCTTTTATGCTTGTCGCCACTTCAGATTTATAGGAGTTATTTGATCCACCACTGTGTGACAAGAGCCAATGCCTCATTGAACAAGTATATATCCATTACTATATTACAAATTTGGTTTTTTAAATTAATTTGGCTAAACATACGTCTGTATAATTGGTTTTCTTTTTAATCCTATGCGCTGTGCTTCTAGGCATTTAAAATCATCATTATGAGCAGGTCTTCAACTGGCCAAAGAGGTCCATGGCACATGAAAGGTTAATAACCCTCTGGCTAAACCCCTGTAGTTGTGACATGTGACCTCCACCTGGTGGCAGCATACTCCTTAGAGGTTAACTCTATAATCAACATTTATAAAAAACTTAAAATAACAGTATATTTGAATATTGTTTTCAAACATTTTTTATCACAACCCACAGTAAGAAATAGGCTTCATATCATAACGCAGTATACTCATATGTAATTTTCACAAAATACTACTTGACCTGACCATGTAAAACGTTATTTTTTATCCCATTGCAATATTCTCTCCGATTTTCTTTCCTTAAAATAAAATGCTGGTTGCAGCACATGAAACTGCAGTTCTGTGGGTCACACTATTTGACATTAGAGGAGACTGTCCTTCATCATACTTTATGATTTATTACCCAGGGAGGTTCACTTTGATCTCCCCCAAAATACCCACAGATTTTTAGGGACATAATACTTACATTTTAAGTAACTATCAACAGAGTGTACTTTTGTACAGTATTAAAATTATTTATTATTGGTAGACATAACATTTATACAATGAAATAAACTGACTTAGGTGGATGTCAAGATATGAAATCCCCGTGGCTGCACAAAGTCCTCTTGTGCCCTTTCTCAGTCAGTTTCTCCCTAGGCAACCACTGTTCTGATTACTTTGACCATAGATTTGGTTTTGCTTTTCTGGAGCTTCATATAAATGGAATCATACAGTATGTATTTTAGCCTGGCTGTGTTCAGTTTCGTGTTACTGAGATGAGACCATGTTGAGCATCTCAGTGGTTTGGTGAGGAACGTTTCACTGCATGAATGTACCACAATTTGTTTATTCTCCTGTTGAGGCTTTGGGGTTGTCTTCCATTTTGGCTCTTGCAAATAAAACTTCCAGGCACATTTCTATACATGTCTTTGTGTGCATATATGTTTCATCTCCCTCAGGTAAATTACCTGAGGTGGAATTGCTGGCTTGGATGGTAAATAAATGTGTGTCTAACTATAGGAAACTGATGAGCCATTTGCCAAGGTGGTTGAACCATCTTCCATTTCCACTAGCAGTGTGTGAGTGTGGGTCACTCTCCATCCTTAGCAACATTTGCCGTGTGTCAGTCTTTTTCATTGTAGTCATTGTGGTAGGTTGTGCAATTATATCTCTTGATAGTGTTAATTTGCATTTGCTTGATGACTGATGATTTTGGAGGGGGTGGTAATTAGATTTAGTTAGTTAGTTAGTTAGTTATCTTAGTGGAGGTACTGGGGATTGAACCCAGGACCTTGTGCATCGCACACTCTACCACTGAGCTGTACACTCCCAGCCCCCGCCCCATGACATAATATTGAATACTTTCACATGCTGATTCACCAGTTGTTCATTTTAATTGTGAAGTGTCTGTTTGAACTTGGGGTGATTTTATAACTATCAATTTTTAGGAATATTTTTAGATATTTTTTAAATATGTCCTTTATGTCAAACATACGCATTTATGAACATTTTATATCAGATTGTGGCATACATATCTGTTTTATTAATGGTATCTTTTGATCAACAGTTTTTAATTTTTTCCAAATCCAATGTAATGATTTTGTCTGCTTTTATATTTAGTGCTTTCTGGGTCCTATTTAAGAAAACTTTTCCTACCCCAGGGTCGGGAAGATAGATTTGGTTTTTTTATGTTTAGGGCTATGATTCATCTCAAATAAGCTTTTGTGTATGGTGTGAGGTAGGTGTCAAGTTTCATTTTCTTTCCATATTAAATCTGGTATTCACACACCATTTGTTGAAAACATTTTCCTTTCACCATTAAATTACAGCACAGAATTTAAAAGAAAAAAAAAGACTGTTTAGCCAAAGAGGTGCAAAAGTGACTTTCCCTGCTGGCCATAAATGGACTCACAGTGCCTTTCTAAGTTAGTTCATCCATAGTTATCTTGAGATTCTCAGGTTACTTTACTCATAAGGTATGAGGATTTATGAAGGCACACCTTTTTACAGGTCTGTAGCCGTGCCACAGAGCTGCTAGCCAAATGTGGCTGTTTAAATTAGATTGGAATTAAATAAAAATTCAGCTTCTCGGTCACAGCAGCCACATGTCAGGTGCTCAATAACCACATATGTTACTGGCTGCTCTATCGAACAGTACAGCTGTAGAAAATTCCAGTTTTCCAAAAGTGCTAGACAGCACTCGCCTATCGAAGAAGAAAGAAGACAGGCTTTGCACAGTTCTATAGAGTATTTTAATGAAACTTAACTAGTTTTGATAACTGTCATCCAGCATCTGCCTTCCTCTCACTTGTTTCCTTTTCATTCATCCAGGCTTCTGTTTCTAGCCAAGATGTATGGTGCCAGGCAATCTTCTGTCCATCTAAAAATGCAGTAGCTTCTCTCTGTTCTCTCCTCCCTGGAAGAAGGAATTCCATAGAGTCGTTCTTTTTTGGAGCCCCCCTAGTACTGACCTGCTTAACTCTTCTTGATGTTTCATAGTATTCCAACTGCTGCTGGATTTCTGGGCATCCCACTTGAACGGGCGGCCCAGGGCTAGATATTCTCTCTTTCCTATCCTGATTAAAATTAAATTTCTCCCTAGCATTTCTATCATGAATACTAAACTTGCAAAGATCAGTGGGTTATGGCTTATACCCTGTCCCATAGGAACATTTCTGTCCAGTCATGAACTTCGCTGCCATTTCACCATGAGCAACCACATAGGAATTTGTGAGATTTTCTCTCCTTGTTTGCTGGCCATGCACTCACTCTGCCGTTGATGTCTTTCAGTGTGGGGACTTCGCTGTCCTGGTGGATCTTCACATATCACCTCAAGGTTCCAGCAGAGATACCAGCTGGTTTTCTGAACAGAAGAAAGAGGTACCAAAAAACTTTTCACTATTTTAAATGCAAGTAGCTGATTTTAAAAGGAATATTAGCTCCTTCCAGCTTTCATTTTCATTAGTGGACAATAAATATTGAGTGATATTTAATCCTTGAAAAACAGTTGTGTTCCCCACGACAGACAGGCGCCTGCTTTTCCGCCCCTGCCCCCAGCTTTGGAAACTAACACATCTATATATTTCATATGCTACTCTAGTATTTAAACCAGAGATTTCCTACCTCTTTGTTTGTGGGGAAGGGATTCTTTGTATTAAAAAAAAGAAGTGAAAGTGACGATTCCAGGTAAGCAGGGATTGTCATCCTGACAGATCGTAAAGGAGGGACTGAACACCTGGAGCAGGTGTGGGCTTGACACAAGCCTGGTCTTTTCCACCTGTCTGGAATCCTCTTCTGCACTTCATGAATCTTTGACTGCAGATGTGGAGATGGCTGACCATGGCAACCGAGGTCACCGTGGTCAGTCGCTCAGCGAATGGTCAGGCAGTGAAGCAAATGGTCGTGTGACGGGGCATGATGGTGAATGCCCTGGGGCCTCAGCCTCCTTGTCTGCTAATGAAGGGCTTCTACCAGGTACTGGCTGAGTCACCCCTGCCTCTCAGTTTCCCAGGTCCCACCCAAGTGCCGCTGCGGCAAAGGGTGAGAAGGTTCACTAGCTCTCATCACGTGCTTTGCTTCCTTCTCCAGATCCCTGTTTACAAGAGAGCGGGATTGCCAGCCAGTGGCTTTTAACTTTCAAAATGTTAGAGTACTTTGTGTCTCCCATGATAGATTCACTGGTCCCAACAGCTTTTTAGAGCTAGAAATAAAACTAAATGTCATTAAAAGGTGGTATATAGAGAAGGAACTAGGGATAGTGGTACTTTTCTGTGCCACTTTTTTGCCCCGTTTACTGTGATAACTGTTTTCAGCTTTTGGAGACTGCTAGAAAAAAAGATCTCCCAAAAGAAAATTTATGAATAATACATTTTCAGTCTAAAGATGATAATATTGTCAGGACTTTGCTGTCATAATTTTGTGAAGGCTACCAGGTGGCCTGCAGCTGGGAGCAGGAAGGCACAAGATTCTGTGTGATGGAATTTATCATTCAGGTAGATAACCGTGGACTGTCCTGTTCAGGACTCGCTGTTCGGGAGGCCAGTGTCTCCTCCTACAGCTCATCTTCATGTCCTCCCAAGCTTTGGCTTCTCAGCACGTGTCCCCATGATTCAAAACAGTGAATTCATTTCCCCAAAGTGACTAATATGCATCATGGGGACCTCACCCATGAGGTTTGACTTACGTTAACAACATTCTAGAATCCACCGTTCCTGGCCCCACGTTTTTCTCCATTCCTGATTGTCCTCTATTCTCTCCCAGCTTTGCCACCTCGGCCCTAGACCTTTTTTGTTGTTTTTGGTATTTAGTCAGTTTTGCCAAGAATCGGTTGATTTGGAAGGCTTTACAATAAAGCTGTGAGTATGTAACTCACCTCCCAGCCAAAGCATGAGGCTAGATTTTCCCAGGGTGCCACGCACAGCTGTGCTGCCCCGCCTCGTACCTGCATCCGGGCAGCTGGGCGTGCCTTAGCGCAGATGCGCAGAGCACAATTAGACCTGCCAGGCTCCGATGCAGCAGCAGGTTGTGCCAGCAAGCCGAGGTTTCCCCTCAAAGCAAAGTAAATATTTTGCAGGTTTTCTTCAAGTTGTTCCTTTAAAATATGTTCCCCGACATTAAAATTGCTCTGGGATAATATGTGTGTGTGTGTGTGTGTGTGTGTAAGAAAGGAGAAAGTCTAGTTGAGGACATGACGTTAGCCCATGTTCAGTGTCCCAGTGTGTTCATCTTTTTCTAATCATTTCATGAGCAATCAGTTTGATTGCATTTACCCATTACTTTATGCAGTGAAAGTCTTAAGAATATCCAGTTCCCTTTCACAAAAGGGAACTAATTACATGTATTAAACACATATTTATTTTGAGTCCAGCGTGAGTAGTCTCTGTTCCCAAACAGTTGAACTCAGACTGTTCCATTTGCAGACTTGGGGACGCGCTCATGAGCCCCCGGCAGCCCGGAGATGTCGGCCATCTTGCTCATTGATTTGAACTTGGTCTTCCCGCTGACCCCTCAGTGCAGCTGGAAATTTGTCCTTTCTCGCCTCACTGTGGTTCTGAAGAAAATGCTTCGCCAAGGGTGGTGTGGTCAGTTGCTCGGGCATCTGGACCACAGGGCTCAAGGTCTGCCTTCCGTTTGTCAGACCTGACTCATGGGAGGAAAGCCCCGTAACTATAGGGAGAACGTTTATGTGGATGGGCCTCTGCTTTATTTTTGTCAGGCTATTTTTAGTCCTGGCCTTATAGGGCATTTATGGCCAAATTTTAACAATCCTTGTTTCCATGTAGGTCTTCCACATATTTTCTAGCTCAGTCATAGTTGAACCCTGCATGTGAAGCAAAGTTCTTTAATTGTTAAAACAACAGTGTGAGGCAAGGCTGCCTCTCTGTTGCGTGAACACTGCCAAAACCTTCAACTGTAAAGGGCTATCTGTCCTCCACGAGGCACTGCATCCTTGGGCTATAAAATGAGAGCAGGTGAGAGGAGATGGAGTGTTGGTGTCTTATCAAGAAACTTATATTTGTGAGTGAAATCCAGGGTTTTCTCTACTGTTGGAGGAGTACATGTATTTGCAATAAAAGAAGCGTTTGGCTCACGTTGCCCCTCGAAGCAGCATGAAACTTTGGTCTCATTTGAATTTATGAAGATTCTAAGAGATCAACCCGAGATGGCATTGCGAGAAACCAGTGAAACAGGTTTGAGGTGACCTCGCAACTCCAAGCCTTCTGCAGAGTCGTTGGGAACTGAACCAGAATTATCAGTCCTGACACAACAGCTCTTAATCTAAATGAAGAAATTTAGATTTGTGTGCAATTTTTTCCTTTCCCAGCATCAGGTTACTGGTTTCTGTAGTGTAGCTCAAAAGGGCAGTCTCATCCCATTGTGTGGTTTGACTTTTAAGGTTGTGTTTCTCCATTCATAAATAACACCGATACATGAAACAATAGTTCCACGAATTTGCTAGTGGTGTGGTGTGTTGACATTGTGTTAAAACCGTGTGTTTCTGTTGCCTAATAAATATTAATCTACTTTTGACAAATACAAAAAGTTAAATTATTTTTACCATTAATAGCTGGCTATAGTTCCATTTTCACAGAGCATGTATAGTGTCAACAGGATTGTGGAAGAAAAATCAAATTCCTGATTTCCAGTTCTCTGTTCAGCCCACACTACTCAATGCTGTTCTTTTCAGTAGATTTGTAAACCGGAGACCAGAAGCTAATGAATTATGGTGCTTAGATGTTAAAAGTTTTTTGAACCAAGTTTGAAAAGTGGGACATTTTTGTATAAAAATCACTGTTTCCAGCTCCTCTGAAACAAATGGGAAGATCTGGTGACACTGTGCCTTGTGTCCCCCATATGAAGCTGAGGGGACTGCCGCCTGTTGGCTGGTTTGGGGTCAGGGTTCCTTCTGACTGCCCTGGCTCCTTCTCATGGTCCCCTACCCAGCCACCTCAGGCAGATCTCTGGGGCACCCGCCTCCAGCCGGCATTGGCTCTGTTTGACTTCTTTCTTCTATTTGTCCCAATATGATTGGCTGATATTTACAAGAAAACAGTCTTTCCCTCACTGATTTCATCACCTCATCACCCCAATTTTTACACTGAAGTATTTTCATCTTCCTTTTAGAAATGTGGAACTGAGATAGAGAGAAATGAAATGTATCTCTTAGATCACAGCGTGAGCCAGCATCATGGTTTCCAACAAACCTCAGTGGCAAGTTTAAATCTGGTATTATCTGTGAGCACATACAACATTCCTTTCATCATTTATAGTAAATTAAAACGCAAACTAAATGAAATGCTTATTTTTGTCTTAATGTGCATGATATTGACTTTTCTGCATTGCATTGAATGAGAAAGTTGTATCTGATTTTTTTTATTTACTTTAGGAAGTCTGTTTACTGTTGAAAGAAACCATTACTTCAAGAGTTAAGGAGTACTTAGAAGTTCGTAAACAGCACAGGCCATCAAATACAGAATTCACAAGATCCAGTCCCTTGTCCTTAAAAGGTAGGCACAGAGTACTTTGATTCTGGATAAAATTTCTGCTTTGTAGAGATGGAAATTAAGTTTGACTCTGACTGTCATGTTAGTACAGTGATACATTTAAAAAATATGTTCTAGTGAAGATGCTTTGTTTGGGTAAAGATTATTAACCAAAAAGCCCTGAAGGGCTTTAAATGGTAGGCAAATACATAAAAATAGAAAAAACATTCCTAAGAAAACTATAAATTCTTTAAAGGATTTTTGTTTTCGACAAGTGGTCTTACAGATGGATTTACATTAATACTGACTTGATTTGGGGCTTTCTGCTTTTTTTAATGCTTTCATATATTTCAGAGGTCCTCAGCTGGGGGAGACTTTTCCCCAGGGGACATTCGGTAATGTTTGCAGACAGTTTTGGTTGTCATAACTGGGGTGGGATCCATGGCAGGGAGCTGCTGGCCCATCTGGTGGGCCAAAACCAGGGATGCCACCAACTGCCCACCAGTGCACAGGGCAGCCCCCACAAGGCACTGCCTGCCCAAAACATCGAGGACACGGAGGTTGAAATATCCTGTCCTGTTACCCTGCTAGCATGTTGAGAATGGTAACATCTCTGAGTTAAAGGTGAAGAAGCTGAGGATTGTATGTCTAAGGGGGTCCCTGTTTCTCTGGCACCTTCTCCCCTGTCTCCCCGCCCCCAGCAATTAGCCCAGGGCCTGAGACTCAGATTCAGGGATACGTTGAACAAAAGAGGACTTGGGTGACAAGTGGCAGAACCTGACCCCCCAGCCCCATTGTCTCTCCACTCTGTCGTCGTTGTGTTTTTAATTTTTTTACTTCCAGTCGGCATTTCCCGGCACTGTTTGTAGTACAAATACAGTCAACCCTGGCGTTCATCCTCAGGACGGTGCCCAGCGGCCCATGAACTAGATTATGCTAATCCAGCACTTCCTTCAGAGCAGAACTGTGTCAAGTACTCACTCCCCTTTGAAGGTCTACTTAGTCTGCAGTGTTTCCTCAGGCACAGCTGATAAGGAGACAGACTCATGAAGTTTACCCAAACTGAAAGCTTAGAACAAATGGAATTTTCAGTCCAAACAATACTGTATTAGATGACGCTTTGGCATTTTGCTTAGCAACAGTTTGAATCTTCTTGAGCGGAGCCTCAGGAGCTTGCCTCCTGATACCCCACGGTCCTGGCTGATCTCACTTTCTAACCAGTTCAGACGGAGAAGGAGCAGAAAAAGTTGCAGGACCTCCGTCTCTGGTGTGGCAGTGGCTTGTGGTCAGTGCTGATTCTCAGATACCCCACCACCACCCCTCTCCTGAGTGAAGGAAGCTAGATACTCAGTCTCCCGCCTCCATCACAGGTAGGGCACATGTGCTGTTCTGGCCCCGAGAGGAAACTCACAGCCCTTCCTTGGGTGCATGCGGGCAAGAAATTTGTTCTTCAACAGCAAAGTGATCTTCCTGTGCAGACAATTTTGTAATCTCTTTTTTCCCACCTGACATAATATAAAAGCCCTTTAAAACCCATACAGCACCACTTTTTAAATTTTGTTTTATTGCAGTAAACTATTCACGTCATAGAATTTACCATTTTAGCCATTTTCAGGACTACAATATAGCAACAGGAAAAGCATTCGTGTTGTTGTGCAGGCGTCACCCTCAGGGTCCAGAACCTCGTCATCATCCCGAGCTGGAACTTTCTATCCGTTAAACCTCAGCTCCCCATAACTGTCCCCTGCAGCCCCTGGTAATCACTTTTCTGCTTGCTGGCTCTATGAATTGGACCAGTGTAGGTACTTCATATAAGTGGAATCATGCCATATTTACTCTTTTCTGTCTGGCTTATTTTATTTAGCATAGTGTTTTCAGTTCATCCATGTTGTGGCATTTATCAGAATTTTTTTCCTTCTCGGGGCTGAATAATGTTCATATAATATACATCTATATGTTATGTAAATATTATATATGTGTATAGGTATATGAATGTATAGGGACATACACACACACCACACTTTGTTTATCTACTCATCTGTCAGTAGACAGTTGGGTTGTTTCCAACTTTTGGCTGTTGTGAATAATGCTGCTGTGAACATCGATGTACAAATATTTGTTTGAGTCCCTG